AGGCTCCAGCTGCCGCCGCCTACCCCACTTTGGTGGACAAGTCATAATTCAATTGCTAGTTATTTGAATTTGTATGGATTTTTTTATAGCAAATGGTGTGGATTTTAATTTGGACTTTGCTACTATTATGCCATTAGAATATTTCAATTAATGTTTTAATGCTATATTTTATAATGTGGTGTGTTTATCGTTTTTTAAATACCGTTTTAATATATTTCGATCGTTATCGATGTATTTTCGATTGGATAGTTTCGTTTTCGATATTACCGGAATACCGATGTCGTTTCCGTTTCCGACATTACCGTATCATTTTCGTTTTCGAGAAAAAAATATAAAAGTGGAAATGGTTGAGCCATATGCCGATCGTTTCCGATCGTTTTCATCCCTAGCCACCGTTGAGTGGTGCTCCCATTTGTCGGCATCGAGATGTATGAACCTTTTTATTTATGGTATGAGATAATTCTATCGATTTGAAAAAAAAAAAATAAGAGAAAGTAAATAATAATATATATTAAAACAAATCAATATTTGCAGTAATGCATTTATAATTACTGTGGAATGGAGCTGCATGGATTGCACATATCTTCAAATAAAAGTGCAGCCCAGCCCATTCTCTGACATTGACATTATACATAAAATTGTATTTTTAGTTCTGTTAGTTTAACGCACTACCATTTTTAATCTTAATATCTTAATTTTTTGTTTTTTAATCATGTAATTTAGTATTTTGTTTCAATTTCAATTATTTGGAACTGAAATTGCAACAAAATTTAAAATTATATAATTTTAAATTTGTTGCAATTTTTGTCCCAAAGAATTGAAATTGCATCGAATTTTAAAATCATAGGATCAAATAGTAAAAATGTTCAATTCTTAGAACTAAAAACGCCATCTAATCAAACCAGCAGAACTAAAATTGCAATTTTACCGACATTATATATAAATTTTAGAAAATGATGACAATGCAAAAATTGAATTAATCAAGTCACGGAACCCCAGCAGTCGTAAAATCAAATTTGTGCTTGTATATCAGTATTTTATTTTTTATTTCCACTTGTTTTTTACTTTACAGAAAAATAAACAAT